TAAGGGGATTTAATTTTTTTCCTCAAAGTCCAAACAGTTCATGATTATAATATATTTTTAAAAAATCAAGGATAAAATCTTGCATCTAGTAATCTCGAAATCCTTCAACGTCTAGAAGGATATCAAAGACCCACTTAAGTCGAGATAATACCTAGCTTTAAAAAAATGCAATAATAATAAATACAAATTAAACATGCGATCTATTATTTAATCTAAATCCAAAATTGTAAGTAATTTAAAAGTACTCTCTAACCATAAGGTTGAGTACAAAATTCTCTAATGAATTCTCTAAACCCAAAATAATGATAATATAATAAATACATAAAATTGATTAAAGAAATTCAAAACTAAGATTAATTGGAAGTTTCAACTCGATCAACATCTAGAGCAAGAAAGATTCTCCTCGAACATCTAAATTTTTATTTGAAAAATAGCCGCATAAAAATGACTATTAATATTCATTTATTTTTATGAAAAATAAAATTAATTCAAAAGATTATAGTTTGCCTAACATTTAAGACAACTAGATTCTCCTCGGGTAAAAAAATGTAAAGTTGAATATTTAATGTGGAACCCAAATAAAATCAAGGAAATTCGACTTGCCTAACATCTAATATAAGATAAATTTCCCTCAATTTATTTTTACTCCACATTTAAAAGGTAAAGTAAAGTGTGTATTTTATTATAAAAAATGTTTATAAATATATAAAAGGTATACTTACAAATTATATATACATACATATATATTAAAGGCTTATTATACATAAATTACATAACATATGATATATTGGGAAAAAAGGCATTCACATATTATTTAGAAAAAGAAGAAACATATATATATATAGAAATATATGTATGTATGTATATGTGTGTGTATATGTATGTATATATGTGTGTATATGTATGTATGTATTCTCTCTCTATATATATATAACATTTAAACTAATAACTTTAGTTAACTTACACGCATTTAATAAAAAAGGCAATATTAAAATATCCTAAACTAAAGCATTTCAAATTAAAGTAAGAACACTGGAATTAAAGTAAACCATAGACATAAGCTAGGACTAAAATGAAGGCGGGATGAAAGTAGGGTGCTTAAACGTGAAGATTGAAAGATGAATCTGAAATGAAATCACCACGAAAGTTGTAGGACCGAGGGGATGATAATCTTGCTCTTAAAAACGCTCAGACACTTGGGCATGTGAGTTCGGTTACACGTGGGTCCCTTAGATGGGAATATAAATCTCCAAAATAAAAAACAACTTTTAAATTTTAGAATAAAAAAATATCATAACATCCTCTGAAATGTTCAAGAGGTTTTCTTCATGTTCTTCGTGGGTTCACCATAATTTTATTATTTTCCAGATTCCTGTGATTTCCCCACTGCGTCGGCTTCCATTGATCGTTATCGGTTGCCATCACCGATGGCGATTCAAAGGAAAATTAAATATTTTTCTTCCCCTTTCTCTTTTATCCGAAAATCACCATCAAAATCCAAAAACAACACAAATCTTAGTAGATCTAGAAAAGAACATATAGAAAAGTACCTCTTTTTTTTATTCGATTTTCTTTGAAAGAAATGTTACAAATCCTAGAGTGTCTTTCTCCTTCCTAATTTTTTTGTGACTGAAAAAATCCCCCCTTTTTGGTTGTTGATTTCTTGCATGTTATAACAAATGTGGCGTGCAGATGGTGTGCGTTTGGTGAAACAACAACAGTTTAGGTTTGGATACACTGAACGTCATTAATATTCCGGAAATGCTGGATTTTGCTTTGATATTCTTCGATTTTTATTTGATTTTTGTTGATTTTTTTAGATATGGTTGAAAAAAGTGGCTGCTGGAGGCGGTTGGTTTCTTGGGGGTGACTGACGACCTTGGAGTTGAAGGCCACGACGTCGGTTGGAGCTAGTGTGAGAGGAGGCTGATGGCTAGGATTAATGATAAAACCCTTGTTCTCCTTAAATCTAAACTGTTAGATCCCAAGTAGATCCAACGGCTAGCATTGGGTGGCTGGAGGGTTAATGATAAAACCCTAGTTCCTTTGTGTTGTGATACATGGGCCTCATCCTTGTTGGGTTTTATCTGTTAGGTTGGCTGACTTGTATGAGTTGTTTTTGTAATGGATTGGGCCTGTAAAACAATAGTTAATAAAATTTTAATATTTTAGCATTTTAATTTATATAATATTTAATAATTATTAATAATAATAACCAAATGAAAATGGGTGTATGCTCCTATTTGCCTATTTTTGTGTAATGAGAATTGGACAAATACGAAAAAGACACAAGTTTTCGTCTGCATGTCTGACATCCAATCTGAATTTAATCTAATGTACTCCATGATTAAGGCTCTAGATTGTGTTCGGCTTCCTCCACGGATGAGGGTTTACCTACTATTAGGGCGTCATCCATAATTGAGGGTTTAGACTTCCTACATGGCTGAGGGTGTTCTCCATGACTGAGGTTTAGGATTCATCGACATCGTTTTTCGCTCGGACGGAAAAAAGTCGATACCGATTCGGGGTTTTTTTCTTTGAAAATATTTAAAAATGTGAGGAGTCGTCACTAATCATTTAAGGTAATATTAAAACACCGTAAAAATTGAGTTATTTTAATAAAAATATTTTATTTTAATAAAATATCGAGTTTTGGGGTCTGCGCAGAAATCTCGTTCGGGAGTCTATTACGCGTAGGGAAGGATTAGCACCCCTACAAGCGCCCAAAATTGGTACCTAGTTGATTACCCTCTATTTAATATTGAAAATTTTGAGTTCGCTCTTTATTTAATTTAAAAACCATTAAGGATGCAAAGTTGAAAATGATATTCGTTTATCGAGACCGATAGCATTCGCCCCCGAGCGTAAATGCGGGAGATCAGCTATTGTGCCTAATAACCGAACATTATCTCGTTTTTAGAAAAATATGATACGGTTTTGAAAAGGATAATAACTTATTCGGGGAATTACCAGTAGTCACCCCTTGAGCACGATCGCGGGAGATATACTATTAATTCCTTAGATAAGTGAACAGTGCCTTAGAGTTATTAAAACAATGCAATCAAGCAAAATTTTATTTATCCTAATTATGCTAAAAGTAAATTAAGACTTTTTCTATGTGACAAATTATGAAAATTAAAGAACCTAGGGGCTTAAATCTAAAAACGTAGGCTCTAATATTAATCCTATTTGATTTTAATTAATTATTGAATCAAATAACCAAGATGGTCCCTCGAGCGTTTACGCGAGGGCCAACTCGAATTATCCCCTAAATTAAAAAACTAGTTTGAAATCTAAGTTAAAATGGAGGCTATATTTAACCTATTTAATCATGTCAATATTAAAAATCTAATCGAAGTTCGAGGATTAAACGGGCCAAGATCTAAAGTATCGAGTTCTAAAAGATTTAAAAGTTTGGTACCTAAATTAATAATTTCTAAAGTTAGGGGTAATTAAAATCTAATTATTACCTAAATTATTACACTAAAATTTTTAGAACATTTTAATTATTAATTAATTTTTAATCGAACAATTGATTCGAGTAATTGAGCGTATAATGCGAAAACTCTACTCCAATTGTTCCCTAATTAAACTAGAGTGTTGTTCTAATTCCTAAGTTTGATTTATGAGTCTAATCTAACATCAAAATTAGAAAACTAACTAAATAACATTAAATAATAAATTTAAAATAAATAAATAAATAAACAAGAAGAAAATATGAATTAAATTGGTGCTAATAACAAATTACTGGATTACATGAATGAATTAAATATATATAAAATACTTAATTAAAATAAACTGAAAATTAAGTAACCGAATAGAAATAAAATGAAAACATATTAAGGACTAAAGTACAAGAGAAGCATACATCGTGGGGACTAAAACTAATTATTCATTTCCTTTTAAAACCTAAAATATACAATTAAATAAAAATCCAAAATTACGACACTTGTCCTACCAAATTTAAATAAAATTAAACACGTCATTACATAGGACCAACATACAAAATCACACTTAAATTCGGATGACTAAATAACAAATAACCCCATAAATAAATAACCTACATAAAAAATAAGCAAATGACAAGTTCAGTCCTCTCAGGTGACCCAAACGTAAAAACGCGCAAAAATATTAGGAACCAATTAGTAAATAATCCGATAAGTGATAACACATGTACAAAAATTGTAAATAACAAAAACGATACTCTTCTGGGACTGGAATGCAAAACACGACCGAAACTAGGGGGTCTGAAGAGAAATAACCCATGAAGCTCTAATATATAACCCAACTTCACCTTTTTTTTTTGTTTCATTTCAACCCCAGCTCTCCAATGAAAAGAGCTAAAAGCTCTCAAATTTCCTCTTCCCCCTCGGGCGAGAACTCGCCGAAGTCCAGCACCGCCGCATCCCTGTGGCTTCGGCCACCGTACACGGTGGTCGGAGCCCTTCAACCAAGCCCAAAACACTCGTCTCTATCCGATCTACCCTTTTCAAAACCGAACCCAACACCAAAACACCCCAAACAAACCTCGGATCTACTCGAAAATGGCCCGACCCTTCGTGTGCCTCGTACTCCAGCGACCCTCGACGGCGGAGCAGACCCCTCTCACCCCAAAACCGCAAAACCTATCCTTTAAAAGCTAGATCTACTCCTAAAAACGACATGCAAAGCGCCTTTGAACCCCTAGAATCCCCTATCTCTTCGACTCCCTTTCCATCATCCTACATCGGCGACCAAACTCCGGTGAGACCCCTCCTCTTCTCAGGTAATTTCTGGACTCTTATTTATCTAATTTTTTTGTTATCTTGCTGGTTAGCTGGGTTGATGAGAAAATTCCTTCGATTATTTTTTTATTTCGAATATATATATCCTGAATATATTTAGTGCTTTTTTAATACCTAAAATCATTTCATTCGGAAAAAAAGTTATACTGATACATACAACACAAAAAAAAAACGCACGAAATAAGAAAAATAAATTAGGGATGATATTCGAATGAATGAAAAAAAAAAGCAAAATACCCTTTAGATCGTGGTAGATTTTTGCTTCTCTTTCTCTTATTGATTTTCCCAGTCCCCTTTCATTTTACATTGATTTAGGGTTTTATAACCCATTACATATGTGAAAATAATAAAAAGAAATGATGGTGGTGGATGTGTTGGAGCAGGGTATGGGCGAACGTATGGGGCTGCGCGTGGGTGTCTGACAGCCATGAGTTGATGCTTGGTGGATATACGAGCCAGCTCGAGAATCTGGGAGTAAAACATGGCTGTGCATGGTGTGAAGTATGGGGTTGATTATAAAATGGTGCTCACAGGATTGAATTCGACTTCATCCATGGTTAAGTCTACTAACGAGTGCCCTCCATGACTGAGGCTCAGGATTGCGTTCGACTTTTTCCATGGTTGAGGGTTTGTCTACTAATGGGTTGTCTTACATGAATGAGGCTAAGGGTTGCATTCAACTTCCTCCATGTTTGAGGGTTCGTCTACTAACGACCTGTAAAACAATAGTTAATAAAAATTTAACATTTTAGCCTTTTAATATATATATTTAATATTGACATAATGTAATAAAATAACATTAATGTTTGATAGTATTGTTAAATTTACTTGTATTATTTTTTGGAACATTTGATCCCAAACGTTTTATTTTGAGTTAAAAAAACACTTTCGTTGGATGAAAATCGTTAATCAACTGACAGTAAACGTATGATATTGATTAAGCAAGAACATGTGAACCTAGATGTTGATGTAGCGTGTCTAGATCATGAAAGATAATGACATGACACTGTCATGTCAGTTTTTTAAATAAAAATTAAAATATTATTTTTAATATTTATATATTTTTTATTTAATATTTTTGTCCAAAGGGAAACCCTAACCATAATATAAACAAACCAGCTGCCTCATTTGTTTTTAAAGTTCTCTCAAAACACTACCCTCTGACTCTTATCTAAAGAGAACAAAAAATCCGGCCACGCCAAACTTTACTTTGACCACCCTTCTCTACGTCTGGTGAAAGCTTTAAATGAAATCTCATACGAACCCAACGCCTCCGCTAAAACCCTTTGAGAGCCCTTCATCACCATAGAACGGCGCTTACACACTGCCCAACCACTAACCGTAGTGGTCGGTTAACTCATGACCTAGATCTAAACCAAACGAGCCCCTTTATTCTTTATATAAATCTTAAAACCATTTTTCAAAAAGACCAAACGAACACCATAAACGACCGAGAGCTTTGACACTTTTGTTCCCACGATAATCGACAACCGGCGGAACGCTTAACAAAACCCAGCTAACAGAATCTTCATCCCAATTTATCTATTTTTTAATTCAAAAATTTTTCTAAAAAATTAAAATTCCCTCTTTTGCATGTATTGATTGTTTCAATTTAAAAAAAAAAAACAATGGAAAAGCTTAGTTCCAATGGCCGAAATTATTTCCTTTACCACACAATCCATCGGTTAGTCCTTTCTCTGATGAAAGTGTCGCTGCTATGTTTCATACTTCCTTTAGAGTTGTTGCTCCACGTAAAGCTGCAGATGAAGGAAAGAAAAAAATCATAGAGAAAACATATTCGAAAATCACGAAATAGAGGGGACGAAAAATCATTTTTCAAAAAACCAAAAACCAGAGAAGGAATCCACAACTATTCGACCAACAAAAAACAACAACCAGTTTTAAAATAAAATCCAAATCGAGAGAGTAATGAGATTAACGATTAAAAAACCATTCATAAAAACTATCCCTTTCGGAGATGAGTCGTCGTTTTCGTTCTTCACCGGAGCAAGGAGTTTCCTTTGAAGAATCGAAGGTAGTCTTTGAAAACTCATCATGTTCTCATTTTTTGGGTCTCCAAAGGTTGAGTTTTTAAGATTCAGAACCTATTTTTGGTTCGATTGAGGGGATAAGTGATTTAGGATTTCGTTTAGAAGTCATGGGTGGTTAAAGGAGGGTGTTTGGCGATTGTTAGCTCCTCATCGGAGCCTTTAAAGGCGGAGGAGAAAGCTTTGTTCGTGAGTTTCTCTTGAGTGAAAGCATGTTTTGTCGTTTAGTTTAAATTTAAATCAATATGGTGTTGAGACATGTTATCTTTTTATTAAAAAATATATTAAATAAAAATATATAAATATTAAAAATAATATTTTAATTTTTATTTAAAAATTTGACGTGACATTGTTATATTATTATCTTTCATGAACTGGACACGACATAACAGTATCTGGGTTCGTGTGTTCTTGTTTGACCGTCAGTTGACTAACGGTTTTCATCCAACAAAGGTATTTTTTGATCCAAAATTAAACGTTTGGGGGTTAAATGTTCCATAAAAATAATACGAGAAAATTTGACAATACTGTTAAACGTTAAGATTATTTTATTACATTACACCTTTAATATTTAATAATTAATATTAAATAACAATATTATTAATAATAATAACCAAAACGAAAACGAATATGTAGAAAAGGGAAAAAAACCAACAACCAATTCAAAGATCATACATAAAATCGTCATTGATCAGACGGTGATGGCCAATGAAATCCGCCTTCCTATTTGCACAAGAAGAGAATTCCAGAAGGAGATGGCGATAAAGAATTTCAGAGAATTTGTTAGATACATAATAATGGTGCATTAATCTTTTGGTCTATTTTTTCTCTGGGAGGACACCTTAATGATTGGTGTGCATATATTTTTTTTACCTTCAGATTTGAGGCTAGAAACCACTAAAACGAGCCCTAAATGCCACAAACGGACTCACAACCCTTCGTATCCCAAACTCTGATAACCCAAAAAAGCTCAATCTCTATTACTCTCTGATGATGAAACCTCAAATTACCATGCAGAAGGTCCAAGATATCTCACTGTGGTGCTTTTACCAATCAGGTAAATGCGAAACCCAGTTTTTCTTTATTTCGAAACAAGGGGGTTGTTGTATATGCCAAAAAGAGGTGGAGATACCTTTTGAAATTATTCTATTTGTATTGATTTCTTTTAAATACGGGGAGGCCACCCTTTACAATATTTTGGTGGGGGTTTATATCAACATGCGCTGGGTTACAATCGGAAAATGAAAAAAAAAATTGATTTTACAACTCATTCCGTCGTTTTATTTGTTTGTTTGCATGGGGTTGTTGATGAGGCATGGGGGACCATCGACTTGCTTGCTTGGAGGCACTGAATGGATTGGGAGAACGGGGGACCATGATTGAGCAAGGAATAATGCCAAAATTAATCCCCCAACATTTACCAAAATGATTATTTCGTCCCTTATCCATTTTTTGGGAGCATTTGGGCTCCAATGTTTCATTTTAGGGCAAGAAGACCCCTAACATTTGACAAAATAATCATTTTGTCCTTTATTCTTTTTTAAGCATTTTAGCCCTCAACGTTTCATTTTAGGTTAAAAAATTTTCTATTCTATAGCGATAATCATGTGTTAACTAATGGTTTTCATCAATAGAGGGAGCTTTTTGTCCCAAAGTGAAATGTTGGGGAGCTAAAATGCTAAAAAAAGAATGGGGGAAAATGACTATTTTGATAAACGTTGGGGGGTTATTTTTGGCATTATGCCATCGAGCAACTGGTGGGTTTGAGACCACTGTTGTACGAGGGGCTTCTAGTAAGGTAGTCGATCCCACGTGAGGGGAGCTAGAGAGGCGACGATTGGAGTAATTTTTTAGGGTTTCAACAACCCTAATCAACTTACAATCTGACCTGTTAGATGCCATCAAATCTGACGATTGATGATGTCTGGCAGGTGATGAATTATGTCAAAATCCTAGATTTGTTTGGGTTAGACCAAACGGGCCTTGGCAACTGATCAACAAACACGTTTAGGTCTTAAATGTAATGGGTAAAGGTTAAATGAATGGGTATGTATCCTCTTTAGAAGTGGGTATGTTGATTGGTCTTGTAAATAAAAAAGGGTAAAGTATAGTAATGATCACTGAACTTTTCTAAAACTTTCATTTAGGTCCCCTAACTTTTAAAACTTGCAATACAGTCCTCTAACATTTAGTCTGTTTGCAATATGGTCCCCGACTGTTACACTACCGTTAGTACGTTTGCAATATGGTCACTAAACTTTTCAAGCGCTTGCATTTAGGTCCCCTAATTTTTAAAACTTACAACACAGTCCTCACTTTTATTCTAAACCCTAACTTTCAAAATAATTCAATTATATTTTAAACCCTAAATTTTAAAATACTTTAATTTAAGGTTTAGAATATAATTAAAGTATTTTGGAATTTGAGGTTTATAATGTAATTGAAGTGTTTTGTAATTTTGAACATGAATTTGCTATTTGACAGTGTTTACTTCAATATAAATTTGAGGTTTGTTGAATGCACATCCAACAACTGTCGCACTTTGAACATGAAAAGTGAATCTATCACGTTTATTGCATAAACCGTTGAAGTAAAAGTAACAAGGCCAATTTGTCTTGTTCGTAGCTGTCGCACTTTGGTATGGCGATCTAATAGGTTTGGATGGAACTTGAGCATGCACATCCAACGACTGCGAAAATAGTAAAGAGTTTTAGTTCATAGGACTACAATATACAGCCAAGCAATAACTAAAATAAACCAAGGATGTCAATTAATAAGACATTCAAAATGAGGACTTAATAAATAAAGGGAAAGAGATGCGGTCATAGTCACTCCAAAAGCTAAGGTGTCAAATGGGTTGTTTAAGATATACATTAGATGTCAAATACAACATTACCAGTTGCAAATGCATTAATGGCCTACCCTTTTAACATATAATTGCTTCTAATGCTCCATGTTTAATGTTCCTCAATAGCCAAACATGATGGAAATCTAAAGCAGATAGCGGAACTAAAATCATAGGACCTCGTAATTCTTGTAAATTCATGGCATGTCAGCAATAAAAGACATTGTAAAATATAGAGGACACTGCAACAAACATATATATGCCAGAAATGAAGGTGCAAATGTGTAATGATCGGGCAACATATCAAGTAGTTGCTCTAAATATACTACCTTGCCATGATGCCTTTCGAGTTGCGTGCATGCAGAATTGTCTTCTAAAGCTATAATTCAATATAGATTCAACTGTAAAATTTCCAAAACATGTAAAAAAAATCAAATTCGTTCACGATATATAAGTCCCATAATCAACATGAACTTATTAAAAAGAATATGAACTCATATGAAGCTGAAAACCACAGGTCAGATCAATATAATTCCTAGTAAACTAGTACCAACAGTCTCTCGGATTGATCCTGGCGATTTCACTATGTTGATACTCACAACCAATTCCCTGATTTAAAGAAAAACCAAACAAGAAGATCAAAAAAATTTATCCTAGGACCCTCTTTCACTTCTATTCTGATGGACTGAATATCTTCCATAAGAAGTATTAAAAGTTTTGATTAAGAAGAAGGAAAGAAAATTAGATGGTTTGTTTTAAAACTAACACTAAATATCCAGATCATTGACATGCAGTTCCAGAAACATAAAATTTTCAACAAAAAAACACACAATGCGAACTGAAAATGGGAAAGTGCGAAAGAGGAAAAGCTTACTTCCGGATACCCAAAAGAGAAAATAAATACCTTCTTGCAAGTGAGCGAAGATGCTAAGAAATAAACGCAATCGGTGTTGCGTTCCAGCAATTCTTTCTCCATTTTTTCTTTGTAAATAAAAAGATGAAAGACCGAGCACTACTTGGGTTTACAATTTTACATGGCAGAAAATTAAAGAACAAAAACCAAACGAGAGTGCATGTGAGCGAAAGAGATTGAGAGGTGAATGCGCTGTTTGGAATTTCGTTATAATTGATCATCTGTTGAAAAATCTTTAACCACAAGGATTAAAAGACGAAATTATTTTATGCCATTTATACAAAATAATTCCATATTTGTGGGTGACTTTCAACAATGATACTTAGTTCATCTTAGTAGTATTTGTTAACTCTGCATTTCTAACCCCATTTTTTTCTCACAAGTATTTCATCGAACATCTATGCTTTACTTGAGATGACATGTATCTAACATTACACCTTGAATCGTTGATGGTCCCGATAGTCCCTTGGTCGGGTTTTCTCTCAATGAACCCTTATTCAAGTAAACACCTACACATAATTCAAAGTTAGATTAGAATTTCCCATGCATTCCTGGCTGAAAAGTTACGCTGGAAATGAGAAGAGAGAAGAAAAAAAAGGAAATTTGAGATCGAAAAGGAATTTAGGGTTTAGAATAAAATTAAGGACTGTGTTGCAAGTTTTAAAAGTTGGGGGACATAAATGCAAGTGCCAGAAAAGTTCAGTGACCATATTGCAAACGTACTAATGGCAGGGTAACGGTCGGGGACCATATTGCAAATAGACTAAATGTTGGAGGACTGTATTGCAAGTTTTAAAAGTTGGGGAACCTAAATGAAAGTTTTAGAAAAGTTCAATACCATTACTATACTTTACCCATAAAAAAATTGGTTTTAAGGTATTTTTTGTATGTAAATGGACTTTAATTTGGATTTTTAATTTGTTTGTATATGGTATTCAATAATCACTACAAGAAAATATACCTTTAATGACACACGAACGATGACACACACTAATTTATGACTTGCAAAAAATTTATGTCATAAAAAATGTCATGTTTTTTAAATTCTGAACGATTTATGACTTACAATAATGTGTGTCATATTTAATAGTCATAATCCAAAAAAATTGCAAAAACATGGAGTACAGTTTTAATTGTGTGTCATCTGTAAAAGTCATATTTTAATTCTCCCCATTATTTTCATACTTTCTCGCTTCTTCCCCCTCGATAACAAAGGTCACGCCGCTTGCTTCCCCTATTTTTCTCTTTTTCCCTTTTTCTCTTTGCATCAGTTCATTTTTCTCTTTAAGTGGGAGGCGATATATCTTCAGCCCAAGCAGTTCTACTCGGAGCTTTAGCTCCTGGTGTCAATGTCGGTTCAATTCCCTTCTCGATGATCTATTATACATGATATATACAGCCATTTGTATCTAGTTTGAATCTTTTTGTTG